GAATCAACATGATAAGCCCACAATTAGTATTGTAGCGTCTCGCAACAAATATACTTGTTATTGTGCTTCTGTCTTTCTGTGTCTTTTCATCTGCTCAGTAAACTCCCTCAACGGGCCGCTCGCTCTCTTCTCGTGATCGCCCTCTCAGGAGAACACTTCACTGCCCGCTTCATTGTAGGATTTCTGCCATGTCTCCACTTTAGTTTGACCATCTCTGTTATGAAGTTATGGAATACTAAATAAATAAGTCATTAGATTCCTTACCGTTACTGCGCTCATAAAGAATGATAAGAATAAGAATAATGTGAATTGAACTGGTTTCATTAATTAGTGAGTTTATTTAAGGTAATTAGTTAGAAGCCCTGTTTTATCAGTATGTCTGCACAGCAGTTACAAAGGGCAAACTACATTAAAACAGGATTGTGCCCATTGTTTCTTTAATAGTTACTAACATTAGATATTTTAATGAGATATGGACCGCAAAACAAAACATGTGCCTGAATGACGAATTTAGCAGTTGGACATAAAAGTCAACTGAGTGTCACTTGCAATGACATGTTGTGTTTGTATTTTATGAACCTTTTACATTAAAAACAAGTTAGAATTTTCAAAAGGTCTTATGTTGTTTTTCGAGGGGGGGGGGGGGCTTTTTCCAGTTTAGAGCAATAGCCCCTCCAAATGTCTGTGCACGTCCCTGTATATTGCACGTGTGGGTGTGTGTGTGTGTGTGTGTGTGTGTGTGTGTGTGTGTGTGTGTGTGTGGGGGGGGGGGGGGGGGGTCTACATCAAGGGGGATGTCTCCGCCTTTCCACAGCAACCATTAAGGGTTAATTGATTTATTAATTAAACAAGAGTTTCTTCAGATATTATATTTATTGTGGAAAACAAATCTCCTCTGGCTGGAAGAGAACTCACCTCTCCATACTTTCTCTTTGGATAACTGGACTTATAACATTCACACTGTACATTTCACATTTACATTTCATTGAATATCCAAGTCCTTGCACCTTTAATGTAAATAATACCTGCTTTGTATTGTGTTAGCAGAACATTGGCCCTTCAATCGTGTTTTAATTTCTCATCTGTCTTTCTCTCTAAAGCTGGTTTCTTTCTACTCTTTCAATGTGTTATTATTCCCAATGCCTTGTTTAGTTGTATGCTGCTGCAACGAAAACATTTCCCACTTTGGGATCAATAAAGTGAATCTCATCTTATTGATACGGTATTAGGATCAGGTTCACACAAACAGACATGGAAATATAACGTAAATGAAAGGGCGAGAGCGTTTGATGTGAATCAAGTTCCTCAATTTAACTTCATCATTTAGCTGCATGCCTATTTTTCATTAACTTCAGGTTTATCTCACATTCATTTAGATTAAATACTTTATTGATCCCACTTTGGGACATTTTTTATTTACAGCAGCATGTTAACAAGGTATTGAGCAAGTTAAAAATGAACATAAACAGTGAATATATATACATGTAAAAATGTAGATAGATATATATATACAGAAAAACACAATGTTTATTACGATTAAAAAACAGGCCTTGCTGCAGGGCAGACTGGGAGCCGCAGGGTCGCCGGTTCAAGTCCCCGACCAGACCTAAATATGGAGTGTGGACTGTTACTTGGAGAGGTCCCAGTTCACCTCCTGCCCTGCCGTGGTGCCCTTGAGCAAGGCACCGGACACCCCTCACTCCCATTACCCCCCCTTCTATTCTAGTATTATAACATCCTGCTTAACATCATCCCTCCCATTTCTATTTTTACTTTTAGTAGTTAGTATATTTTGATGCCTTTTACTTGCTCACATGAACGCCTAACTTTGACAAGTCAAACCCTAACTATGTTAGTTTACTCAGGTGAAAGTCTTTCACCTGAGTAAACTAGTTCTTCTCCCACCGTTTGCTGAGTTGCAGTGCAGGTGTAGACGGGGAAATGATTGATCAAAGTGGAGAACATTTTGTTCCGTGCTCCTGCCTGAGGGAACTTCTGGTTAAACATTAACTATAGTGCAAAAGAGGAAGAAGAAGAGAGGGAGGTGAGTCATCTGAAGAGGAACTGAAGAACAGGTCACATTCTGTATTTGGACGTTTTATAGAATATGCTCTTCTTTCAGAATGCTGACTTTTTTCATGAAAAAAATAATATTTGTTTTACATTTTTGTCTTTTTTTATTCCAACTTTCTTAAAAACATTTTGACTTTTTTCAGAAATCTGACTTTTTTTTATAATTCTGATTTTTTCTTTAAGAAATTTGACTTTTTCTTATAATTTTTTCAAGAAATGTTATTTTTCTTTGCGTTTGGACTTTTTATAAAATGTTTTTGATCAGAATTGTTACTTTCTTTCTAAAGCTGACAGTATTTTTGAATTTGGACTTCATGGGATTTTTATTTTCAGAATTCTCACTTTTTTCAGTTTTGTGATTTATTTTTTGAACTATGACTTCCTCACAATTTTAGATAGAAATTTGACTTTTCTTATGATTTTTTAAACTTTTTTCATAATTCTGACTTTTTCTTGTAATTTTGACTTTTTCCAGAAATCTGACTTTTTCTTATGATTTTTTCAAAAGTTTTTCTGACTTTTTCTTATAATTCTGACTTTTTCTTATAATTTTGACTTTTTTCATAATTCTGACTTTTTCTGAGAAATATTACCTTTTTCAGGGTTCTTACACCTTTTCCAAAGTAAAATTCAAGCACTTTTCAAGCATTTTCAAGGTGCATTTTCAAGCTTTTCAAGCATCTTACAGCTGTTGTAAATTACGTATTTATATACACATACTTATACTCAACTGATTATTTCCCTACCTCACATTAAATCAGATGTTCTTTATGCTATAAACAACCAAATGTGTGTTTCATAATAGCATTCTACATGAGGATGAACAATTAAAAATGTTAGAAAAGAAACTAAGTTTAATATTTCAAAACGAGTGACCCATCTGTACGTAGACTGGGCATCCCATATAACCTGGCTGAGCCAATATAAAACAATCAGCCAAATAACTTTTCAATATATTATTGATTACTATTTCTGAGGTACTTTTAGGTTGGCAGTAAACACAAGTCAGAGGTACATGGTGTACTTGTACTCCACTACAGTTCAGAGGTACATGGTGTACTTGTACTCCACTACAGTTCAGAGGTACACGGTGTACTTCTCCTCCACTACAGTTCAGAGGTACACGGTGTACTTTTACTCCACTACAGTTCAGAGGTACATGGTGTACTTCTACTCCACTACATGTATTTAATACCTTTAGTTACTTCACAGATGTGGATGAATGATGTGAAATATAATCAAGTGTTAAATCAGACTTTAGTTCCACCTGGAGTAAATCCACAAGCTACCCTGCAGTATACAAAGTCATTCAAACTAGCTGCACCTTTACCAGCTTTGAGAACACTTTCATGATCAATCATTATAAAACATATCATATATATTATTAGGGATGCTCCGATCACCAATTTTGGAGCCGATCGCCGGAATCAGTATCGGCCGATACCACTCTCTTTTCCTCTCTCCCCCTCTCTCTCTCTCTCTCCCTCTCCCTCTCTCTCCCTCTCCTGACAGCCCGTCAGTATCTCCTGCAGCTCACTGATCCAGTAATGAGTGACCCGACAGTGAAGAATAAATATATTTATAACTAGTTTAGCTTGTTCCAGAGGTAGATCAAATAGCTAAGTGTGTTAGGTCTAACTCTTAATGTGTGTTCTGCTCCGCTCACCGGTCCGTCACAGCGGGTGGAGCTGCAGGATTTCTGCTTCACACACACGTTGCAAACCGCTATTTTATTGTCATTTTCGGACACTTAAAATACTGCCAAACTGGTGAAGCCATTTTGGCGAGCTTGTTTTGCCGCGCACAGAGAAAAGTGTCATGTATTTTACATGTAACGATAGCCTAATCTAAAATGCTCTACGATGGCGTACCTTTCGTGTGGTGTGTGGCTCGTCAGCGCAGACTCTCGCATCGTTATTGTTGCACACTTTGCAGGAGGCTACTCTTGGGCTTGACCCTCGTCTTAGCCATGGCTTGTATTTGTCTTCTGCTAGCCAACGGTCGTTGAAACGGCAACCTCCTGGCATACTGTCATCTATCACTCTCATCAGAATGCCCAGGTCACACACGTAACAAAAACACTTGCCGGTCACGCGCATTGCGCGGGACGGCCGGAGCGGAGCTGTTTTATGTAAAAGCGAAGCAATTAAGCTCGCTCCGACTTCTTTATTTTCTTTTAATCTAAAAAGCGAAGTAAAGCATTTACAATTTCAAGCACTTTATCCCAAATTCAAGCACCATTCCCAAAATTCAAGCACTTTTCAAACCTTGAAAACACCTCGTACAATTTCAAGCATTTTCAAGGATTTCCAGCACCCGTACGCACCCTGCTTTTTTTACATTTTGACTTTTTCAGATTTTCGATTTTCTTAGAATACTGATATTTTTTATACATTTTGGATTTGGATCTTTTTATATCATTTAGATTTTTTTTTTTTTTCAGAATTCAGACTTTTTTAAGTTCTTATGAATAAAAACAAGACCAGACTAGGAGTTGGAAGTTTCTTTTTTTCTGTGCATCTGTGCTTTTTATTGCAATAATACATCTGCATGATGATATATATTTACACACACCCTTTCATACACACACACACACACACACACACACACACACACACACACACACACACACACACACCATCAATGCTCAGAACAAAGAAACAAGAACTGTTGGACAATCAGCACATGACATGAGAAAAACCCCACAAATTAACCACCGACTGTCTTGACCTGTCTCTCTCACACGCACACACGCACACACACACACACACACACACACACACACACACACACACACACACACACACACACACACACACACACACACACACACACACACACACACACACACACACACACACACACACACACACATGCAGTTCCCCACACATGCACACGAGCGGACACAAGCTCGAGTTTCCAAGACAAACGTCTAAAAGTTTATTTGAGTCGATGTTTTGAAGTGCCAAATATATATATTTTTTAAATTAACACTGTCGCTATGATATCTCAACTGAACTGTACTGAATACTATACAGACACTCCGAAACTCACTGTCACTGTTACAGAAACATCTCATGAGACACGGGGAAGAAGAGTCATACTGATAGGAAATAAACTCCATCCTTTAAACGTATTCTGATACTGCCTTCAGTCTCTATATACTATATACAGAACATGAACACTGCATATTTAAAGGTCTACATTTACAACCACTGCACATTTACTAAAAGCCTCTCAACCCGTCTTTATATATCCAGATGTGTTCGATTCGCTCCGCTTGTGTTTGTGAGGAAACACCAACAATAACTATGCAACAAATACAACAAACACTACAGCTGGAAACACACGTTTGTTTTTTTTGGGTTCGTTTTTTTTTACACACGATGCACAAAACAGCACTTTTTTTATTTTTACAATCATCTATTGCAATTTCTTTACAGATAACAGATTCATAACGGTACGACTTCCAGTAGTTTGCTGTGATGTGTCGATAAGTAAAGTTGATGGAAGGGTTGGAAACATGCTGAGATAAAGAGTGTGTGTTCCTCTCTTTGACCAGGTGTGTGTGTTTAAGTGGACGGATGGAAGATTTCTTCTTCTTCTTCAACTCTTCCTCATTTCGTTGGCTTGTTGCTTCTTCCTCTACTCATAGAAGCTGCGATCACTAGAAAGAGGATCAAGCAGGTTTGTCAGTTTCCTGTTGTTTTGATGAGGGAATGAGTCCTAAAACCCCGACATGAGTCAGCATTTCCTGTCCCCTGGTCTGGAAGTCAAGGGTTTTCTGAATGTGTTAGCGTGAATTGTAAACATTTCAATCATGTAAAAAAAACTTTTGCTTTTGAAAAACATGTGAAGATGGAGGGTAAAATGGCTGGTTAAAGACAAGCGCGACTATAAACTTACCAACTCACGATTTTTATTACAAATTACATATTGAATGCATAAGAAATAAAGCCCTAGAGCTCATTTCCTTTCATTCAACAGTTGTATTGGAACGCTCCACACTTTCTTTGTCTTATTAGCATCTGGCTAACGTAGGCTAACGTCAATAGTTGTATTGGAACGCTACACACTTTATTTGTCTTAGTAGCATCTGGCTAACGTAGGCTAACGTCAACAGTTATATTGGAAGAATACACACTTTATTTGTCTTAGTAGCATCTGGCTAACGTAGGCTAACGTCAACAGTTGTATTAGAAGGCTACACACTTTATTTGTCTTAGTAGCATCTGACTAACGTAGGCTAACGTCAACAGTTGTATTGGAACGCTACACACTTTATTTGTCTTAGTAGCATCTGGCTAACGTAGGCTAACGTCAACAGTTGTATTGGAACGCTACACACTTTATTTGTCTTAGTAGCATCTGGCTAACGTCAACAGTTGTATTGGAATGCTACACACTTTATATGTCTTAGTAGCATCTGGCTAACGTCAACAGTTGTATTGTAACGCTACACACTTTCTTTGTCTTAGTAGTATCTGGCAAACGTAGGCTAACGTCAACAGTTGTATTGGAACGCTACACACTTTCTTTGTCTTTGTCTTAGTAGCATCTGGTGGCTAACGTAGGCTAACGTCAACAGTTGTATTGGAACGCTACACTTTCTTTGTCTCAGTAGCATCTGGCTAACGTAGGCTAACGTCAACAGTTGTATTGGAACGCTACACACTTTATTTGTCTTAGTAGCATCTGGCTAACGTAGGCTAACGTCAACAGTTGTATTAGAAGGCTACACACTTTATTTGTCTTAGTAGCATCTGGCTAACGTAGGCTAACGTCAACAGTTGTATTGGAACGCTACACACTTTCTTTGTCTTAGTAGCATCTGGCTAACGTAGGCTAACGTCAACAGTTGTATTAGAAGGCTACACACTTTATTTGTCTTAGTAGCATCTGGCTAACGTAGGCTAATGTCAACAGTTGTATTGGAACGCTACACACTTTCTTTGTCTTAGTAGCATCTGGCTAACGTAGGCTAACGTCAACAGTTGTATTGGAACGCTACACACTTTATTTGTCTTAGTAGCATCTGACTAACGTAGGCTAACGTCAACAGTTGTATTGGAACGCTACACACTTTTTGTCTTAGTAGCATCTGGCTAACGTAGGCTAACGTCAACAGTTGTATTGGAACACTACACACTTTATTTGTCTTAGTAGCATCTGGTGGCTAACATAGGCTAATGTCAACAGTTGTATTGGAACGCTACACACTTTATTTGTCTTAGTAGCATCTGGCTAACGTAAGCTAACGTCAACAGTTGTATTAGAAGGCTACACACTTTCTTTGTCTTAGTCTTAGTAGCATCTGACTAACGTAGGCTAACGTCAACAGTTGTATTGGAACGCTACACACTTTCTTTGTCTTAGTAGCATCTGGCTAACGTAGGCTAACGTCAACAGTTGTATTGGAACGCTACACACTTTATTTGTCTTAGTAGCATCTGGCTAACGTAGGCTAACGTCAACAGTTGTATTGGAACGCTACACACTTTATTTGTCTTAGTAGCATCTGGCTAACGTAGGCTAACGTCAACAGTTGTATTAGAAGGCTACACACTTTCTTTGTCTTAGTAGCATCTGACTAACGTAGGCTAACGTCAACAGTTGTATTGGAACACTACACACTTTCTTTGTCTTAGTAGCATCTGGCTAACGTAGGCTAACGTCAACAGTTGTATTGGAACGCTACACACTTTATTTGTCTTAGTAGCATCTGGCTAACGTAGGCTAACGTCAACAGTTGTATTGCAACGCTACACACTTTCTTTGTCTCAGTAGCATCTGGCTAACGTAGGCTAACGTCAATAGTTGTATTGGAACGCTACAGACTTTATTTGTCTTAGTAGCATCTGGCTAACGTAGGCTAACGTCAACCGTTATATTGGAAGAATACACACTTTATTTGTCTTAGTAGCATCTGGCTAACGTAGGCTAACGTCAACAGTTGTATTGGAACGCTACACACTTTATATGTCTTAGTAGCATCTGGCTAACGTAGGCTAACGTCAACAGTTGTATTGGAACACTACACACTTTATTTGTCTTAGTAGCATCTGGCTAACGTAGGCTAACGTCAACAGTTGTATTGGAACGCTACACACTTTATTTGTCTTAGTAGCATCTGGCTAACGTAGGCTAACGTCAACCGTTGTATTAGAAGGCTACATACTTTCTTTGTCTTAGTAGCATCTGGCTAACGTAGGCTAACGTCAACAGTCTTATTGGAAGGCTACAAACTGTCTTTGTCTTAGTAGCATCTGGTGGCTAACGTAAGCTAATGCCATCAAACTGTATTGCTGTGCAACAGACACTACTAAATCAGTTTTATGACTTTTTTTCTCTCTTAACAATTTGCATTTTTATGTTTATTTCATTCAGGTGGCTAGCAACAGTTAGCTTAAGTTACTTAGTCTCGCTTAAATCTTTGGGATGAGTGAGGTATGATTGTACAAAATAACAAACTTTTACCCTCAGAGTGAATGTTTTTCCATGTGAAAGCGACTGAACCCACCATTAAAACAGTTTTTAGAAGTTTCAACTGCAATCACAATCCTATGTAAATGCTAATCTAGTAGCTAGCTAACAGGCTACATGCTAACTAGTCCTGTTGCTCTGCTGTAGATCTTACCAGTGCACAGCGTAACGACCGACAGCTTAAATTCGGATTTGATCGCCTTCATTCAACCTGGTGATTGCAAAATAAATCCAATAAAATATCCAGAGTTCAAAGTGCATCCTGTCAAATGACACTTTAGACATTTTATTCTAAAGAAGAAAGGTGAAAGGGCGATAGAGTGGTGCAGAACATGAGTCGTAAAACTCTTATATAAGTTAGCATTTTACCAAATCTGGTTCCCTTTCTTCAAACTCAACAGTGTTCTTTAATTGAAAAACGGCGGTTGCTAACAAGTGTCTAAATGAGACGGCTAAACGTCATCACGCCCAACATGCCTCCTTTAGCTTAGCGGTGGTGACGTGAAGTCATGTGACCGTGCTGTAGTTCCTTTATAGCCCAACATTAGCCACCTTTAGCTTAGCGGTGGTGACGTGAAGTCATGTGACCGTGCTGTAGTTCCTTTATAGCCCAACATTAGCCACCTTTAGCTTAGCGGTGGTGACGTGAAGTCATGTGACCGTGCTGTAGTTCCTTTATAGCCCAACATTAGCCACCTTTAGCTTAGCGGTGGTGACGTGAAGTCATGTGACCGTGCTGTAGTTCCTTTATAGCCCAACATTAGCCACCTTTAGCTTAGCGGTGGTGACGTGAAGTCATGTGACCGTGCTGTAGTTCCTTTATAGCCCAACATTAGCCTCCTTTAGCTTAGCGGTGGTGACGTGAAGTCATGTGACCGTGCTGTAGTTCCTTTATAGCCCAACATTAGCCACCTTTAGCTTAGCGGTGGTGACGTGAAGTCATGTGACCGTACTGTAGTTCCTTTATAGCCCAACATTAGCCGCCTTTAGCTTAGTGGTGGTGACGTTTAGTCATGTGACCGTGCTGTAGTTCCTTTATAGCCCAACATTAGCCTCCTTTAGCTCAGCGGTGGTGACGTGAAGTCATGTGACCGTGCTGTAGTTCCTTTATAGCCCAACATTAGCCGCCTTTAGCTTAGCGGTGGTGACGTCATGTGATCGTGCTGTAGTTCCTTTATAGCCTAACATTAGCCGCCTTTAGCTTAGCGGTAGTGACGTCATGTGATCGTGCTGTAGTTCCTTTATAGCCTAACATTAGCCGCCTTTAGCTTTGCGGTAGTGACGTCATGTGATCGTGCTGTAGTTCCTTTATAGCCTAACATTAGCTGCCTTTAGCTTAGCGGTAGTGACGTCATGTGATCGTGCTATAGTTCCTTTATAGCCTAACATTAGCCGCCTTTAGCTTAGCGGTAGTGAAGTCATGTGACCGTACTGTAGTTCCTTTATAGCCCAACATTAGCCGCCTTTAGCTTAGTGGTGGTGACGTTTAGTCATGTGACCGTGCTGTAGTTCCTTTATAGCCCAACATTAGCCTCCTTTAGCTCAGCGGTGGTGACGTGAAGTCATGTGACCGTGCTGTAGTTCCTTTATAGCCCAACATTAGCCGCCTTTAGCTTAGCGGTGGTGACGTCATGTGATCGTGCTGTAGTTCCTTTATAGCCTAACATTAGCCGCCTTTAGCTTAGCGGTAGTGACGTCATGTGATCGTGCTGTAGTTCCTTTATAGCCTAACATTAGCCGCCTTTAGCTTTGCGGTAGTGACGTCATGTGACCGTGCTGTAGTTCCTTTATAGCCTAACATTAGCCGCCTTTAGCTTAGCGGTAGTGACGTCATGTGATCGTGCTATAGTTCCTTTATAGCCTAACATTAGCCGCCTTTAGCTTAGCGGTAGTGACGTCATGTGATCGTGCTGTAGTTCCTTTATAGCCTAACATTAGCCGCCTTTAGCTTAGCGGTAGTGACGTCATGTGATCGTGCTATAGTTCCTTTATAGCCTAACATTAGCCGCCTTTAGCTTAGCGGTAGTGACGTCATGTGATCGTGCATACAAATACAACATCCTGCACCACTCTATACAGGGAGAAACATAACAAATGTATGAGATGAGAGTAAAGGAAAGGGGTTAAACCAAAGGTAGTGGTTGAAGCGATGGAAATGATTGTGTTCAACAGATTATTAACAGTATTGTACTCACGCCCCCTCGTCTCTGAGCAGGGACAGGAACTTGGTCACTCTGTAGTCGGATTCCATCTAAAGAGGAAACAAGGAGAAAAGAACACAAGCTGTAGACTGGAGACAAAACAAGCAGCTATAAACAATCAATACAGCTCTCATCAGAAATCACATGTCTCCAGCACCTCTTTTCACCCTCTGTCTGAAACCACAGCTGCTCTGATTGGTTAGCTGGCCGGCACTGTTGTGATTGGTCAACCGCTCAAGAGATGTCCCGCCCCTTAGCCTATCAGGTACAATGTGTTGGAGCGCTAGCCAATAGGAGCGCGATAGTGATGTCAGGATGTTCCGGAGGTAAACAAAGGAGCATGATAGTGCCTCCTTCAGTATATTAAATGTCAGGAGTGGGTTAGCTTAGCGTAGCATAAGAACAAACATGGGGAAATATGTTGTTGAGGTTATTTAAAACCCCCTCTAAGCATCACTGAATGACCAGTTACTTTTTTTAAATCCGTTTTTAGCTTTACTTGCCAGATTATTTCTTAGCCTTTCTTAGCATTTTGTCAGATATTTTGTTTTTCATTCTTAGTCTTGTGCTGGGTGTCCTTGTTCAATGTTATCATAATTGTCTCTTGAAGCGTTCTCGTGCGCAATTTCTTTTTGGGGTTTTCTGTCTCTTCTTGCACTATTTTTATCGTTAATATCTTATACATATTTAAAGGGGACCTATCATGCAAAATGCACTTGTGTACGTCTTTTCTACATGAATATGTGTCCCCGGTGTTCCAGGGAACTCACCAAGTGTCAGAAAACACAACCCTCTCTATTTTCCTCCATACCCAAATCTCTAAAAAAGGGGCTGCAACGGATCTGATAAAAACTGATCCAGATTTGAACACTGTCCTGACGTCAGGACGGTGGCGCTACGGCTATTGGGCCAACTCCACCAATCAGGAGGAGACAGCCACGGCCATTGCCGTTCGAAAGCGCTGGAGACGCTGTAGTACATATGCCAGGCCTGTAGGTGGTGCTGTTCTCACTGAATCAGCCCTTGCTAAAACAGAGCTAACATTGTTCAATTTGAGCAAAATGAGGCATGGCTAAAATGCATGATCTGTTTAAATATGCCTTATATAGGTATGGTCCTACACTATATTATTCAAATATAGCATGATAGGTCCCCTTTAAGTTGCATTGCCTGTGCATGTAACAAACAATCCTTTCAATCTTTAAATTGAAACATGCATGTTTACGCACATGCAAAGAAGAGTAAGCACCAAAAGCAACGTGCCAGCTATAAATGGCGAAAATGAGGGCTTTTTTTTATGTTTTTTTTTTTCCAGCAGTCCCACAGCTTCATTCCTAATTACCATGAGATTTCGTCTGTCCTTCTTGTTGTCTTTACTTCCCTGTGTATATCTACTGACTAACATCTTCCACATCACAGCGCAGCGTAAGTATGGAGCTTTAGGAGCAGCTTCCTGGCCCTTCAGTACCTGCAGAGACATCTCGATGAGCACCAGCAGCTTCTTGATGCCGATCCAGACCCGCTTCCCTTTGAGCTGCTGAGCGATGCTGGCCCGCTCTTTATCTGTGAAGCTTCCCAGCAGCTGAAACACAACAAACACAACGCGGAGTTACCTTTGCTGTGGAACATCGTACTGCTTTACAGTTCACCATCTGTTCCTCTTTTACAAGAAATGTCTAACAGGCAGCAGCACATAACCTCAACGAGGCGTAAATGGGGTTATTTATTGTTGAAAGGTTAATGGTCTTGTCCTTTTGTGGATTGTAGACATGATGTTTCTCCATTTGCTAGAAGATGTGTTTAAAAGAATCCTAAATCAAAGTCAAAGTCAACTTTAATGTCCATCTGACTCAGTTTGTGTTTACAGACAGAGAGATCGAACAAATTCCAACAATCCCGAATATAAAATTATACAATATACAGATATGTGTACAAATATGTATATCCTATATACACAATCAACAGACACATGTACACATATGCACACATTAAAGGTGGGGTAGGTAAGTTTGAGAAACCGGCTCGAGATCGCTAGAATTTGAAAATACACAGCCGGAGAAAACCTGCCACTTCCTTCCAGAGCCCCTCCTCCAACACACACGAACGCGCACATGACCAATGAGGGCACGAGATAAGTTTGTGCACAGATGGAAGGCTGACAGGCAGGTAGGCCATCCAGTTACTTTAGCCGGGCCGGCTCAGATGATTGGTCGTGCTTTTTACAGTACTACGGCTTCCACAGATGATATTTTTTCATGGATTTTTTGTCAAAGCACTTCAGATATTCATTGCTATCGGGATGTTAAGAGCATTCCATGGAATATAACAAAAAGTGTATCTCGAGCCGGTTTCTCAAACGTACCTACCCCACCTTTAATATAAAACAATCAATATATACAAAATAACAGTCACTTCAATATCAATATCTTTGGTGCAAGATTGTATATAGTATGTTTATCTCTTCTGTTTGTCTCAGCCCCTCCTCATGTGGATCTCAGCCCCTCCTCATGTGGATCTCAGCCCCTCCTCATGTGGATCTCAGCCCCTCCTCATGTGGATCTCAGAGCCTCCTCATGTGGATCTCAGCCCCTCCTCATGTGGATCTCAGCCCCTCCTCATGTGGATCTCAGCCCCTCCTCATGTGGATCTCAGCCCCTCCTCATGTGGATCTCAGCCCCTCCTCATGTGGATCTCAGCCCCTCCTCATGTGGATCTCAGACCCTCTGCAGACCCCCTGATGCAGACTGCTTGATAAACTCCCTAAAAGACCGTCTTATTCCAAGAATCTTCATTTCAGTATAACGGAGAGGTTTCCTCACCATGTTATTATTATTTGTTCATTTCCATCACACCTTCAAAACCGCTCACTGGAGAAAGCATCAATGAAGCTGTTAATAATCTAGTGTTTGTGAGAAGGGGATTAAATGAGTGTAAACGTCTCCCCTTTTCAGATGTGTAATGAGGTAGATCATTTGTTTACATGTAATTTGTAAGTCAATAATATTTTTGTTTATCAATTTGATACGGCTTCAGTTTTCATTTCATTATTATTATTCTATTAATGTTTTACAATCAAATCAAATCAAAGCGGCACCGCAGGGGGGAGCACCCTTTAATCTGAGGAACATTTGAATGTTTTAGAGTCTGGTTTTTTCAAGGCTGTGTGTGAGTGTGTGTGTGTGTGTCTGTGTGTGTGTGTGTGTGTGTGTGTGTGTGTGTGTGTGTGTGTGTGTGTGTGTGTGTGTGTGTGTGTGTGTGAGAGCTCTTGAGGAGGGGGATGGTTCAATGCACAACATTCATCGGTGTGTCTTTGTGTGAGCATCTTCAGCTTCGAGCAAAAACATGTGACGATAACATTAAAGTGCTTGTGATTATATGACTGCGTGTGTGTGTGTGTGTGTGTGTGTGTGTGTGTATGTGTGTGTGTGTGTGTGTGTGTGTGTGTGTATGTGTGTGTGTTAGTGTGTGTGTTTGTGTGTGTTAGTGTGTGTGTATGTGTGTCTGTGTGTGTGTCTGTGTGTGTGTTAGTGTGTTTGTGTGTGAGTGTGTGTGTGCGTATGTGTGTGTGTGTGTGTGTGTGTGTGTTAGTGTGTGAGTTAGTGTGTGTTAGTGTGTGTGTGTGTGTGTGTGTGTGTGTGTGTGTGTGTGTGTGTGTGTGTGTGTGTGTGTGTGTGTGTGTATTTAGATAACTCTAATGCGTCGACTAGCTGCTCCCAAGTAGACATGTTGGGAACGTAGATTCACATGCTAGCATTGCTTTGTTTATCTAACGTGTGTGTGTGTGTTTAGATACCTCTAACGTGTTAAAGCTTACCTGCAATCGGCTATCATGCTAATTTGCTAGCATTTCTTTGTTGATTCTAATTAGATATGACGTGTTATTACCTCTAAAGCGTCGACCAGCTGCTCCCCGGTGGAGATGTTGGGAACGTGGATGGTGGTGCTGAACGCGTCCAACATCTCCATCTCCTGCAGGACGTCCTTCCGGCTGGTGGTGCCGATGATCAGCAGCTTCCTCCCCTGCAAGAGTACACACCCTTTACTCAAGTAGAAGTACAGATACTCCTGTTTAAAAATACTCTGGTGAAAGTAGAAGTACTGACTAAACTTCTTTACTCAAGTCAAAGTAAAGAGGGCTTTGAAATGTACTTCAGTAAAAAGTACCATAACTAGCTAGCTGTTTTAAAGAGTACCTGACCTCCCTTTATATTAATAGAACAATAATGTCATTGTTAGCTAATGAATGTTTCCATGCTGAACAACGGCAACATGACAACGTTTTCATTGGTCCCTCTTCTTTAGAGAAGACCAGGAAATGATGGATACACGGATCGTGTTCAAATCAATAGGCACGCAATGACTCTAAATAATAATGATCACGCCACCAAACACACATTCAAACTAAAGGAACCAGCCTGTTTGGGAAATGTGAGAAGTAGAAAGTACAGGTATTTGGGTTCAACATGTGAGAAGTAGAAAGTACAGGTATTTGTGTTCAACATGTAAGAAGTAGAAAGTACAGGTATTTGGGTTCAACATGTAAGAAGTAGAAAGTACAGGTATTTGTGTTCAACATGTAAGAAGTAGAAAGTACAGGTATTTGGGTTCAACATGTAAGAAGTAGAAAGTACAGGTATTTGTGTTCAACATGTAAGAAGTAGAAGGTACAGGTATTTGGGTTCAACATGTAGGAAGTAGAAAGTACAGGTATTTGTGTTCAACATGTGAGAAGTAGAAAGTACAGGTATTTGGGTTCAACATGTAAGAAGTAGAAAGTACAGGTATTTGGGTTCAACATGTAGGAAGTAGAAAGTACAGGTATTTGTGTTCAACATGTGAGAAGTAGAAAGTACAGGTATTTGAGTTCAACATGTAAGAAGTAGAAAGTACAGGTATTTGAGTTCAACATGTAAGAAGTAGAAAGTACAGGTATTGTGTTCAACATGTAAGAAGTAGAAAGTACAGGTATTTGGGTTCAACATGTAAGAAGTAGAAAGTACAGGTATTTGTGTTCAACATGTAAGAAGTAGAAAGTACAGGTATTTGGGTTCAACATGTAAGAAGTAGAAGTAAGGTATTTGAGTTCAACATGTAAGAAGTAGAAAGTACAGGTATTTGTGTTCAACATGTAAGAAGTAGAAAGTACAGGTATTTGGGTTCAACATGTAAGAAGTAGAAAGTACAGGTATTTGTGTTCAACATGTAAGAAGTAGAAAGTACAGGTATTTGAGTTCAACATGTAAGAAGTAGAAAGTACAGGTATTTGGGTTCAAAATGTAAGAAGTAGAAAGTACAGGTATTTGGGTTCAACATGTGAGAAGTAGAAAGTACAGGTATTTGTGTTCAACATGTGAGAAGTAGAAAGTCGTCGTGGAGTAAAGTACTGATACCAGAAAAATGTACTTAAGTACAGTAACAAAGTATTTGTACTCCACTACTTCCATGCTCGGCTCCCCTGCAGGAAGAACTCATTTAGCTTTTTGTCCTCTCGTTAATGACACCACGCTAATTCTCCGGTCAATTAATTTCCGTGATGAGGGGAAATTAATTGTCCATTAATTCGCTGGCTCAAAATGTAATAGAGTTACAACCCGAGGCAGAGGATATTTATTAGTGTCACGGAAAGTAATTCTGTGATTAGCAAATATACGCTTCCAGCTTTTGTTGATCTAATTAAAAAAGATAAATGACAGAGATACAGAGATACATCTATGATTACAACTAAATAAATATAACAAATAAGGTATAATAGAGGTTTTTAGTACATAATATAAAGCTGTAATTTGAAAGAAAAGTCAACATTTTGGGAAATACACTTTTTTGCCATGAAGCCAGCAGCTAGCTTAGCTTAGCATAACACAGCTAGTCTGGCTATGCACCATTATACAAAATATACGCTTCCAGCTTTTGTCGACCTTATTAAAAAAGATAAATTAAGAAAGATGTATTAAACTACATTTAACTATTGGTTGATTTAGTAAAACAATGACAAAAATGTGCATCGAGAAAACTGAAAAATATAAAAATATATATATTTATATAAATAAGGTATAAAAGAGATTTTTATTACATAATATACAGCTAAAAACAGCAGCTAGCTTAGCTTAGCATAAAGACAGCTAGTATGGCTAAAGCACCATGCCGAAAACCGGTCAAAAACCACAATTAGGGTTTATGCTAAGCTAAGCTAATTAGCGTTCAGTACATAGGACATTGCTTCAACAACTGTCAATGTCTGTCAAGATTACTTAAATAGTATATAGCTAAAGACAGAAGCTTTCTTAGCTTAGCATAACACAGCTAGTCAGGCTAATGCACCATGCTAAAAACCAGTCGAAAACTACAATCAGGGTTTCCAGTCTTTATGCTAAGCTAAGGTATTTAAGGTAATAAGCGTACAGTTCACCGGACTCTGCTTCTGTCTGAGTCTCCCCGTTCTTGTTCCTTACGAATACATAATTAAAAACAGACTTCTTTATAAAGCTTTCAGAGGAGGTCTGACCTTCGGAGGAGCTTTCTTCAGCAGCACCAGCAGAGCCTGGAGCACCAGGTTAGAGAATCGAGGCCCGATGGGAACGTAGTCCAGAAGACGCTCGATATCGTCCACCACCACGCAGCTGAGCTGGGACTTATAGGCGTCGTCAAACACCTGGAACACAGAGAGGGGAGGAAGAGGACACGGACAAAGGGTAAGAGAGCTTAGAGACAGTTTAGTGGAAAAGCTTGTTTTTTTAATCCATTCTCAGGGGTCCTTGGGTGTCCTGAAAGATGCCTCCAATTACATTACATCACATGTCACATGTTAGACGCTTGTATCCAAAGCGACTTACATACTCAATACTGTGGACAATCCCCACAGGAGCACTTTGGGGTGAAGTGTCTCAGGGACACAACGACATGCTGACTGCAGTGGGGTTTGAACCTGTGACCCCCGGATCCGAACGCACAACCCACTGCGCCACACGCCTCCAATTAAAATGTATTATTATTATATTATTATTATTTGTATTAATTGGCGGCCATCTTTGGAGGATAGCATCTGTAGCAACATTAGCATCTGTTCATTTATCTGAAGAAAGTGTTAAAGACCGTTTTAGTTTTGTGAAAACGTCAAATAAAATAAGGAATTGGAAACGTTTTTTTTGCTGTTTTTACGAGTTTTTTTTAATCCATTCTCTGGTGTCCTTGGGTGTCTCGAAAGATGCCTTTATAGAGTGGCGAAGTCACGCCCACTTACTTCCGGGTAATGGGACCTTATTTCGGAAAAATTATGCATTGAAGTCAATGGGGAGAGAAAACTTATCTTTCGATCCCGTTTGAATTGTGCCATGAATTACACACATGATGTTTGTCAATCTTAAAAAATCATTTCCATGTCAAAAAAGTCACAGTTTGTCGTAAAACTGTTGAAATATAAGACTATGAAAAATACGCAACTAGAAAGACTACAAATCCCAGAGTCGCGTAAGTGATGTCACAATTGTTTTCCTCCACTAAGAGATAGCTAAGATCAGCGCCATATAGATATAATCTATCTATATGGCGCTGGCTAAGATAAGATAACTTTAACAAGATGCCTGTGTGCTTAGTACCAGGTTGTTATCATACCAGCAATGGGTCTAGCTCGTTCTTTTGCTTCCCGTCTGATGAAAGGACCAGGAGTGGCTTGATCAAGTTAGCTACCTAGCTAGTAGCTAGCACGTTAGTTAGCATTACAGCCTTGTCATTTGTATTAGCCTTAACATGAAGTAACATTAAGTAACCCAACATGTTAAACAGTAAGAGTAGTAGTCATATTTCGTGAACCCTTTGAATAGTACTGTCACTGGTGTGATCATTCTATAATACACCATTTAAGCCCGGGGGAGAAATGCTAACGCTAACGCTAGCATCTGCGATCTTCTCTACTTCATGCTATCTGCACAAATGGTTGACATTAAACATTAAAACCAGGCAGTTCAGAGAGAATCAAAGGAAGGCAGGCAGGCAGCTTTGCATGACATTCTTCAGGACGTGTTTCATTGTGGTGATAGTGAGGGTAGTCAATCGTTTTGTTGACAAGACAGTAGTGACGGCCATCTTGGTGACGTGTGTTGTTGACCAGAGATGGAGTTCATTGAGCGTTTCACACAAACAAAAGTGTTACTTCACAGTTTTACGACACATTTTTTTTTTTTTGACTTGCAAAATTATCTTTTAAATTGACAAACATCATATGTGTAATTCGTGGCACAATTCAAACGGGACCGAAAGATAATCTTTCTCTCTCCATTGACTTCAATGCATAATTTTTCCGAAATAAGGTCCCATGGGGGTCCACCGGAAGGGGAGGGACTTCGCCACTCTATATAACATTTATTATTATTATTATTAACATGGTGCATTATGGGGCGGGGCAGCCATCTTTGGAGGATACCGTCTATAGCAAGCCCCCAGGAAGTGCGCCGGACTCTGTGACCAACATTCGTTGTGTCCAAACGGCGGTACTGCAGCTCCCGTATCAGTCCGTGACGTCACCCGGCCCAAAACAACTTTTCCCCATTGACTAACATGGGGAAAGAGACGTCTGTAAATCAGCGGATAATTTTATTTAAACTAAATAAACTACCCAGTATGAACTATTTTATAGCCCTTATTAGAATCATTTGTTGTTGTTGTTGTTTTAAATGCTAATGTTAGCTTGTTTCCTGCGAGGGTTAAATCTGTTAAATCTGCTGCTCACCTTCTTGATGGCTTGGCACTTGGAGATCTCTGAGTGTCCGATCATCTTGTCTGGAGAGCAGATCTTAATGAAGGGGAAGTCTGAGTCCTCTGCAATCTGAGCCGCCAACGCAGTCTTTCCACTGTGGGGGGGGCCTGAGAGAGGGGGGACAGGTTAGAGTGTGTGTGTGTGTGTGTGTGTGTGTGTGTGTGTGTGTGTGTGTGTGTGTGTGTGTGTGTGTGTGTGTGTGTGTGTGTGTGTGTGTGTGTCTGACAGTGTCTGACAGTAGGGGGCGTGATTTGAGTGTTTTTTCCATTTCAATTTGTTATACTTAAACAGGGTATATGCAGGAATCCTGAAGTCAAATGTAATACCTTTAAACCTGTTAAGCTCTGAGCCTGTTTTTCAGGTCTCAGGCTCGAAAATGACATTCCCAGAACAAATGAGCATATCTTCCCTTCTAAAAGGGTTACATTAATAATCTTTTTTCTCAAAGTAATGATAAACCTGTGAGTTGGATGTAGAAAAGTCAGAATCAATATAGATGTTTTTTATTTTAAAGAAAATTCAGATTGAACATAGTAAAAAACTGTAAATTATAGTGTCCGTCCAAAAATTCTTTTTTACTTATAGTGAAAACTACCCTTGGATGATGGGTTAGTAGACTAAAAGCTTTAGGAATCCAAAGTACAACATATAATAAGTACCCTGTATCAAGATTGATGCAAAACAAGTGACATTTGACCTTTTTAGAGGTCTGAGGTGATTTGGGTGAAAATGTTTTTTTTCCCATATCTCTGGCCCCCCTTGCTCGATTTTGATGGTTGACACCTCTTTCTGACCGTTAGAGCCAATAGAATCAAAGGGGGGTTCCCCCACACACACTCGTTGTGAAAACAAACGGTGGGGGCTTCCCGCATGCAGGTTTGCACCAGAGTGAAGCGATCTCTCGCTCTGACATTTGGAAACGAAAAAGCAGTTTTATTGCTTATGGATTATCAGAAATCATTTCAAAGAGGGCACAGACACATTGGATTAACCTATGGATTAACTGCAGCATCGTTTTTTTATCGTTTTAATGCCATTGAAGACCAGTTTTGACCAAGGTAAGCCATGTTAGCGTTTCTAGCTACCTAGCTCCACATGTTATGATGTACGTTTTCATTTATAGCGTCGCAAATGTTTATCACTGAGTGTTGAGGTGGGCACCCCCAGATTCTGTGTCTCCAGGAGATGCTAATCGAGGGGTTGGCTGTGCATCTAGGATAAGTAATAAGGGAGTTATGAGTGAGTTTAGGTGCAGAGATAGGTTACATTTTTTCGCTCGTGGCTAATTCAGAGGCTGAGTGTTAGCATTGTGTTTTTTTTTGGAGAAAACAAATTAAAAAGATCAGTTAGCTGAGTTTCTTCCTCTTACATGGATATAAAACATTCATAGTTTATTAAATATTAAGATTCCTTAGACGTTGTTTCCTGCAAATGACGCGTTTATCCGCCCGGTACCGGGGGGGCGGTGCGTAACAGGTTAAGACCTTTCTTAAGACCCTTTCCATACATGTTAAGACCTCATCGCCACTTTCAGTTCCAACCGGTTACCTTGGCGACACACTTCACCTCACATTGACTATATACAGTATTGATTGTCCTTCCTCCTTATCTTCCAACCATTTGGACGCAGACTTGCATTTCCCCATAACGATGTTGTTTAACAACCGGCGTAAACGGACCTTCGCGCGCTATCAAGCAGTGAGCGTGCGATGTCCTGTTCAGATGACGTCAAATCCAACGGGATGCCATAAATAAACTACACAGAATCACACTACACACCTACGCAATGATTACATTCAGGCAGACTGTAGAATACCTCTTTGGACAATTCATATACTTATTGGAAACTAGCTACAAAATGTAATACCTTGGAAAATGCTGTTTAATACTTTTTGATAGCCTTCATTTTCGCTAAATTGATTGATCAACTTGTAATACTTTTTAAGACCCCGCTAAAAAAAATTCCCACCTGTATTTACTTTAATCACAGTTATTGAGGCTCAGGCTTGTTTTGCACTCAACACACTGAGATATGTGGAAGTAGAGACTTTAACAACATATCAGGACGTGAGTTTCATGCAGCTGGTTTCATTTCAGATTTAGAGGAAATCAAGTTTATATTAAAAACTGTAGGAGACTTGTTTCTCTGCTTAATGAATACATATTATATTATGCACTTCTCAGCAGTTAGCCAGGCTTTCCAGGAGAACTACGCATTGTCAGGCTTCATTCATCCATTTGTTGCACTTAATAACAGCTGATTTAATGTACGTTTTGATATCACTGGTATATCTGAGAAGATCTGGAAACTGGATCCAGTCTTAGTGGAAAATAATCAGTCGGAGAATATTAATAACCCTAACTAACTATACAGTGAATTCAGTGTGTGCTTTAGTGTAATATACAGTATATGTGTGTGTATCTGTGTGTGTTTCAGTGTAATATTTAGTGTAATATACAGTATCTGTGAGTGCTTCAGGTGTATAAGTGTATCTGTCTGTGTTTTAGTGTAATCAACAGTATCTGTGTGTGTGTGTGTGTGTGTGTGTGTGTGTGTGTGTGTGTGTGTGTGTGTGTGTGTGTGTGTGTGTGTGTGTGTGTGTGTGTGTGTGTGTGTGTGTGTGTGTGTGTGTGTGTGTTGAGTTTACCCTCCAGCAGCACGGCCACCAGAGGAGTGCGGTCACTGTTCTTGGTCTGTTGCACCAGCAGCTCTCCGTCGTCCAGCACGTGAGTCACGGGGTCTCCCCACTTTATGATGCCGTTCATGATGTAGTTGGAGTAATCCTCCTGGTTCGTACCAAACGCCTGAAGAAGAGCCAAGAGGGTCAGAAACAGGCACTTGTTTTATGTTATTTGTATCTCCCTGGTCCCCGGCTTGAGCTTCAACCTCAGGATCCATGTGTTTATGATCCTCTCCAGAATGGAAGTAGTCATCACATACAGAGCATCAACTAGTTCCTGAACAGTGTCCTTCACATGCTGATATCCAAGAGAGGGAGTTACACAGTCACAAGATGGAGGAATACCCGTTCTTGTAGGTAATCATACATCCTGTCATGAACCAAATACTGACTTTTTTCTCAAAATCCTGACTTTTCTCAAAATCCTGACTTTTTCTAAAAATTCTGACTTTTTCTCAAAATCATGATTTTTTCTAAAAATTATGACTTTTTCCTCAAAATTATGACTTTTTCCTCAAAATTATGACTTTTTCTCAAAATCTCAAAATTATGTTTTTTTCTCAAAATTATGATTTCTTCTCAAAATCTCAAAATTATGATTCTCTCAAACAATTCTGACTTTTCCTAAAAATTCTGACTTTCTCTCAAAATCTCAAAATTCTGACTTTTTCTCAAAATCCTGACTTTTTCTAAAAATTCCGACTTTTTCTCAAAATCATGATTTTTTCTAAAGATTGTGACTTTTTCTAAAAATTGTGACTTTTTCCTCAAAATTATGACTTTTTCTCAAAATCTCAAAATTATGTTTTTTTCCTCAAAATTGTTTTTTTCTCAAAATTTTGATTTCTTCTCAAAATCTCAAAATTCTGATTCTCTCAAAAAATTCTGACTTTTCCTAAAAATTCTGACTTTCTCAAAATTCTGACTTTTCCTAAAAATTCTGACTTTCTCTCAAAATTCTGACTTTCTCTAAAATTCTGACTTTCTCTCAAAATCTCAAAATCCTGATTTTTCCAACTATACAAAGTTTACTTCAGATTAGCTCCACGTCAGAAATGATCATGCTTGTCATGTGTCTATCTCCATAGCGGCTGAATCATCATGTTAATCAGACATCCTGTCATGTTCACAGCTACAGTTGGGATACCTTAGTTAGCATGCTACTCTCAGATTGGAAGAGGACATTCAGTGTTTCCCCAACATTTTATTAATCTGTGTTCAGGGGAATAAAGTCTTACTGGTTTGATGTCGTTGTTCAGGGATCCCAGGAAGTCGTTCCTGGTCACCTGCAGCTTCTCAGCCTTCTCCATGTCCACCTCCACTGTGGATGTAGCCTGAAATATATATTAAAGGTCACCTATTGTTTAAAATACACTTTTTCATGTCCTTTATACATAAACATGTGTCCGCTCTGACCTTGATGTGTCGGTTCATGGCGGTGGACTGCACGTATTATCTTGCACGTATTTCTATTTCTTATTTTGGTTGCATCAACGACATTCTGTATGTTTTTTCTTTATAATGAACACACACACACACACACACACACACACACACACACACACACACACACACACACACACACACACACACACACACACACACACACACACACACACACACACACACACACACACACACACACACACACACACACACACACACACACACACACACACACACACACACACACACACACACACACCTTGATATGCCTGTTCATGGCAGTACTCTGCGCCGCTCGGACCAGGCCCTCCAGCTCCGCTCCGCTGTAGTTCTTGGTCTCGGCGGCCAGCTCCTTGATGCAGATGTCCGGAGCCATGAGGCCGAATCCTTTCATCTTATTGGTGTGGATCGTCAGGATCTGCACACGGCCCTTTTCATCGGGAAGACCTGGAGGGAGTGGGGTGCAGTTGATAAGTTAATAACCAGGTAAAGGAGAGACTTAGCTTTCAAATCAAAACTGCTCCACCTGTTAGACATCTGCTCACAGACTGTTGGTCCGCCTGTCAGAGACGTTCTGACTCAGCATCCCATAATAACCTGAGAGGCTGTCCATCATCATCTCAGACACAAAACAAATATATCACTTTTTTCTCGCTATGTTTTAATTAAATAATAAATGTGATTTTATTCCGGAAAAATTTATCACTTAAGATTCTTTTCTAGGTTTCTTCTTGTTATTTAATAATCTAGCGATTTTACATTTTTTCAAGCTGAGTTGGTTCTAAAGAATGAGAACATGGAGCTAAAGAGAACATGGTTCTAAAGAGAACATGGAGTTAAAGAGAACATGGTTCTAAAGAGAACATGGAGTTAAAGAGAACATGGAGTTAAAGAGAACATGGTTCTAAAGAGAACATGGAGCTAAAGAGAACATGGAGTTAAGGAGAACATGGAGCTAAAGAGAGAACATTGAACGCATCACTCACTGATTTCCATCTTGACCTCAAACCTTCCGGGTCTCATCAGAGCGTCGTCGATCAGATCGGGTCTGTTGGTCATTCCTGAGGAGGAAGAGGAGGAAGAGGAGGAGAAGAAAGAGATTTACTGTAGGAAACAATGAGGAAGAGGAGGAGGAGGAGGAGGAGGAGGAGGAGGAGGAGATTCACTGTATTAAACGACCTAGGAGGAAGATGTCAGTGACGCCTGTGCAGAAGCATCGAATTGTTCAGCTTTCCACCCTTCCTGAGGGTTCTGAGAGCAGCACCCTTCCTGAGGGTTCTGAGAGCAGCACCCTTCCTGAGGGTTCTGAGAGCAGCACCCTTTCTGAGGGTTCTGAGAGCAGCACCCTTCCTGAGGGTTCTGAGAGCAGCACCCTTCCTGAGGGTTCTGAGAGCAGCACCCTTCCTGAGGGTTCTGAGAGCAGCACCCTTCCTGAGGGTTCTGAGAGCAGCACCCTTCCTGAGGGTTCTGAGAGCAGCACCCTTCCTGAGGGTTCTGAGAGCAGCACCCGTACCCAGAGTGCATTTAGTCTGAAGCTCCTTTCACACCGAAGAACACGTCCTGACGGAACGTCGCCTCACGTCTCCTGCGTCTTGGCCATGCTTCGCACTGGAACACACCGCAAAGACTTCAGCCAACGGCCAAGTAGCACGTACGAACTGCGCATGTGTTAGAGCAGGGGTGGGGAACCTCTGGCCCCCGGGCCGTATACGGCCCGCGAGACCATTTGGTACGGCCCTCGAGGTAATTTATAAACACACGCATAAAAAATGTTAAGAAATCTAGACCGCAAAAAAATTAAACAAGCGAGTGCCTGTTTTTCCTGACCAAGGTCCGGGTCCTTGAACACAACACGAGCCTAACGTGTCATCACGTGGTCTATGTCTCGTCTGATAGGGGTGCAGTTCTGACGGAGAGCACCAGAACGCCGCTCCACCACTTCACAAAGTGCAGTACCCATAAGGAGCCGTACACATGCTGCAGTTTCTGCGTGGCTGTGTCTTTAGCTTGAAAGCCCAGAGGAGATCTGTTCATCTGTCATACTGATCATACAGTCAATACCTTTGCTGTTATTAGCATCTGGTTAGCTAGCTATGCTAACGAATATAAGAAGCTTCTTCTCCAACCAGTGAGGTAAAGGCACATCTTTATATGATCATTATAGTTATAAAAACACAAGAGAATAAAGTAAACAGGTATAAAATACTATATGACAGTAAAAAGAAGTTGTTATTAATAAACAAGAATACAGTTTGAAAGGAGAGTGATTTGTAAAATATCCATAAAGAAAAGTAAATCTGTTTCCAGTTCTGTTTCATATGTTGAGAGATGTATCCATAGAGCTCTTCATGTTGCTCCAGATTGATGCTTTTAACTTCAACATTTAAAAATAAATCTTCCCCCCCGGAGAGGAGGTTAGGACCCCCCCCCACTTAAATCATGTTCACATGGATAGGAAACTAAATACATTTGCACACATCTTGTGTCCATATCTTTCTGTTTGGGTGGTCCTGCCACACCGTGCACGTGCATGCATGCCACACCGTGCACGTGCATGCACACGCGAGTCATGGTGAGATATCTGGATTCAGAGGTTCTTTTTCTTTGCACAGCATGAAAGAAAGGAGAAATGAAGGGGCTGTGATTTTAGTCTTTTGAAGCAGAGGTCAATCATTTGTTCGGCCCTCGGAGGATGTTGAAAAAATTGAAATGGCCCTTGAGAGGAAAAAGGTCCCCCGCAATACCTCTCCTTACCAGCAGGCGGCGGTAGTGTGTATTCGTCATTCAAAAGAGGCAACCGGAAGACAGACTGCGTGATAACCGAGAGAAGAAGAACAGACTGCGTGATATAAACAAACAACAAATAGCGTGCGTTCCATGTTCACTCTACAGCCAGAAGCTCACGGGGCTTTCCCCAACCTGTGTCGAGAGCTGGAGTTAAATGAAGTCTCAGATTTGGCTTCTTAATCGTTTGTTTGGGTCCCTCACTTCCCTTTCGCTTCTCATGCTCTGATTCGCTAGCTGAACAGCCAATCAGAGTGATTTCTTTAGCCGACAGCCTCCCGATTCAACATGTCGAATCGGCGGTGGAAGGTGTCGGCACGGCCGAAAAGACAAGACGGTGCGGGACACACCAATCTGAGTAGGGCGACAGGACGCTCATCGACGGCCCGACATCTATCGACGCCTATCGACGGCCGAAATGGGCTTGGTGTGTAAGGACTTGACTTTGGGACACGTTGATGCATCTCAAACCTTTGGGACACGTTGATGCATCTCAAACCTTTGGGACACGTTGATGCATCTCAAACCTTTGGGACACGTTGATGCATCTCAAACCTTTGGGACACGTTGATGCATCTCAAACCTTTGGGACACGTTGATGCATCTCAAACCTTTGGGACACGTTGATGCATCTCAAACCTTTGGGACACGTTGATGCATCTCAAACCTTTGGGACACGTTGATGCATCTCAACAGCAGATATGAGTGTATGAGGGAGAGACTGACCGGTGACCAAGCTGTCGAAGCCATTTTGCACTTCTATCTTATTTATATTTATAATGAAATATTATGAATGTTTTGTAGATGATGTTTTATTATTTATATGTATTGTTGTTTTGATTGATGCCGACTATTTATGTATTATTATGGTGGCGTCACATAGGCGTGGTTTTGCCCTTTAATAGACGACAGGTGCTCACGATGAGAGGAAGGCAAACCGCCCGATAGAGAGCGCATGGTGAACTCTGGAGGAGAAGATGAACCCGTAGAGATACGCCGTAGGGCTTCTTTTGTTTCAGAGTTTAGAGTTTAGTTTAGTATTTTGTCTGTTTGTCTTGAAATAAACGGTGCTATCTGATCATTAATGTGGACGACCACTCGTCACAATTTAAATGAAACTGACCGATGACCAGGATGTTGTTGAGCTGCTCCACGCCGTCGATCTTGCTGAGCAGCTGGTTGACCACGGTGTCGTGCACCCCCGTGCTGCTCGCTCCGGTTCCTCTCTGCTTGCAGATGGCATCCAGCTCGTCAAAGATGATGATGTGCAGCCCGCTGTTCGCCCCCAGCTGTGAGACAATAACAAACAAGGTGCTCTTTAATCAAGCTGCGTCACAACTGTTTCAATACACAGATGATTCTGCTATATGTGTCCTTCCTCCTCCTGTCACCCCCTAGATCAGGGGTGTCAAACTCAATTCCATCGCGGGCCACATCAGCATTATGGCTGCACTCAAAGGGCCGGTTGTAACTTTAAGACTATATAAACATACATATATAAATATTTAATATATCTAAAATAATGTATTATATTACTTTATTGCCTCTGCATTGGATTATTATCGGATAGGGTAAAAACTTCATAAATAACTACGTCTGAAAGAAGATGTCAAGGGCAAATAAGTGCAAGTCTCTTCAGTGAGAATGTCACAAAATTATTTAAAAAGAAAAGCCAAATTATGAAAAAAAAAAAATCAAAATCAAAACAAAAAAGTAACAATTTAAAAGAAATTCTGAGAAAAGGCATATTTTGAAGAAAAAAGGTCAAATTCTGAGAAAAAGTCCAATTTAAGATGCATTGTGGGACATGTAGTTTATGGACATCGTGCTTCTGTAAATCAGCATGTAACCGTATAATAAACATATTACATTCTTTCAGAGCTCTTGCGGGCCACATGAAATGAAGTCGCGGGCCGGATTTGGCCCCCGGGCCTTGAGTTTGACACCCCTGCCCTAGATGAAAACCTGAACCAATTAAGACTTGTTCATACAAAGCCTTCGGAGAAACGTCTTTGAATCAGCTCAAATACCCAGCAGTTTACGAGTTAAAGAGGCTATGCAACTAATCAATTATTGATATAAAACTATCGGCAACTATTTAGATTATAGTTTTAATGCCTTTAAGAGAAAAACGCCCTCTCGTTACTGTTTCAGCTTTTTAAATGTAAGGATGTTTTTATTATTTATAGCATTTTTTAGGTTACTTTAGGACCTGGAAAAGAATGACAGGCATTTCTTTCAATTCTAAACGCGAAAAACATATCATTTTTTTTCCTTTATACCATTTAAAACATTTAGAAATAATCATTTCAATGATTTTCGAGGTTTGGAAAAAACACTAGGATGCTGAAAATGTCACTTTAGGCATTTCTTAGGATTTCTAGGGATTTTCTTCTGAGACTTGTTGTTGTATTTGACTTCTTTTTTATTACAGATCCAATGTCTTTGAAGGGTTTGCATTTGTACTTTTGCATATGTTTTAGTATTTGATGCTTACACCTGGAGACGATTTAAACAAATGAATGAACAGTTTTTTAGTATTTAATAATGATAATAATTCATTACATTCTTTATAGAGTGGCGAAGTCCCTCCCCTTCCGGTGGACCTCCATGGGACCTTATTTCGGAAAAATTATGCATTGAAGTCAATGGAGAGAGAAAGATTATCTTTCGATCCCGTTTGAATTGTGCCACGAATTACACATATGATGTTTGTCAATTTAAAAGATCATTTTGCAAGTCAAAAAAAAAAAAATGTGTCGTAAAACTGTGAAGTAACACATTTGTTTGTGTGAAACGCTCAATGAACTACATCTCCGGTCAACAACACACGTCACCAAGATGGCCGTCACTACTGTCTTGTCAACACAACGATTGACTACCCTCACTATCACCACAATGAAACACGTCCAGAAGAATGTCATGCAAAGCTGCCTGCCTGCCTTCCTTTGATTCTCTCTGAACTGCCTGGTCGTTTTAATGTTTAATGTCAACCATTTGTGCAGATAGCATGAAGTAGAGAAGATCGCTAGCGTTAGCGTTAGCGTTAGCATTTCTCCCCCGGGCTTAAATGGTGTATTATAGAATGATCACACCGGTGACAGTACTCTTCAAAGGGTTCACGAAATATGACTACTACTCTTACTGTTTAACATTTTGGGTTACTTCATGTTACTTCATGTTAAGGCTAATACAAATGACAAGGCTGTAACGCTAACTAACGTGCTAGCTACTAGCTAGGTAGCTAACTTGGTCAAGCCACTCCTGGTCCTTTCATCAGACGGGAAGCGAAAGAACGAGCAAGACCCATTGCTGGTATGATAACAACCTGGTACTAAGCACACAGGCATCTTGTTAAAGTTATCTTATCTTAGCCAGCGCCATATAGATAGATTATATCTATATGGCGCTGATCTTAGGTATCTGAATGGTGGAGGTAAACAATTGTGACATCACTTACGCGACTCTGGGATTTGTAGTCTTTCTAGTTGCGTATTTTTCATAGTCTTATATTTCAACAGTTTTACGACAAACTGTGACTGTTTTGACATGGAAATGATTTTTTAAGATTGACAAACATCATATGTGTAATTCATGGCACAATTCAAACGGGATCGAAAGATACGTTTTCTCTCTCCATTGACTTCAATACATAATTTTTCCGAAATAAGGTCCCATTACCCGGAAGTAGGTGGGCGTGACTTCGCCACTCTATTAAAGTGCTCAAAGCGCTTTACATTACACATATTGGACATGTAACAGTCAATATTGTGGACAATGCATTACATAAATGAATTACTGCACATATTTGATTCCATCCTATCACATTGTAAATACTGCCATATTTTATTTTACTATATATTATATTTTAATGTTAAAGGTACGTTTGAGAAACCGGCTCGAGTGCGCTAGAATTTGAAAATACACAACCAGAGAAAATCTGCCACTTCCTTACAGAGCCCCTCCTCCAACACACACGAACGCGCACATGACCAATGAGGGCACGAGATAAGTTTGTGCACAGATGGAAGGCTGACAGGCAGGTAGGCCATCCAGTTATTTCAGCCGGGCCGGCTAAAATGATTGGTCGTGCTTTTTACAGTACTACGGCTTCCACAGATGATATTTATTTATGGATTTGTTGTCAAAGCACTTCAGATATTCATTGCTATCAGGATGTTAAGAGCATTCCATGGAATATAACAACAAGTGTATCTCGAGCCGGTTTCTCAAACTTACCTACCCCACCTTTAATAGTTTTCTTAGAATAGTTCTCTATCTATGTTTTTATGTTTGCACCACGACACCAAGTCAAGTTCCTCGTACGTGTCCCTGGTGATAAACCTGTTTCTGAAGTTTGGGATCTTTACCTGGAGACGAGTCGATTGTTTGATTATAAATGAACAGTGTTTTTAGTATTCAGCATGTATTAAAGTTCTTGAATGCCTCACCCTCTTCTGCTCTTCCTCTGCGTCGGCGAACAGCTTCCGGATGTTTGCCTCCGACTCGCCCACGTATTTGTTCAGGATCTCGGGGCCGTTCACCACTTTGGGCTCTCGGGCGTTCAGCATCTTCCCGATCTGACGAGCCATCAGAGTCTTTCCACAGCCGGGGGGTCCGAACAGCATGATGCCCTTCACGTGCTTACAGCCTGGAGGC